AGCCCCCGGCCACCCACAATGCAATGGGGGGAGGGGCTGCTCCTCGGGGGCCAAGTGCCACGCACAGGCGGCTGGGTTTCCACGCCGCCCCCCCGGCAGATGGCAAGACGGCCCTGAGCACCGGTGCTGCCGCTGGCTGGCTACCGTGTTCCTGGAGGCTGGCTGTGGGGAGAAAGGGAGGGTCTACCTCATGCGGCTGCAGCCAGCAGACTAGCTGAGTCGAGGACCTCCCCCACAAATGCCCCGGCCACCCACAATGCAATGGGGGGAGGGGCTGCTCCTCGGGGGCCAAGTGCCACGCACAGGCGGCTGGGTTTCCACGCCGCCCCCCCGGCAGATGGCAAGCACGGGTGCTGCCGCTGGCTGGCTGAGGAGGGACCTGGCTCGGGTAGGTCGGCCCACCTGGTACCACCCCCCCGCGGATGAATCCCCTCCCGCAGGCCGAGGTCTCCCTCTCGCGCCTCAGGGGGGCCTGGGTCCCAGCGCTCCTGACTCGTGGCGCCCGGGGAGGGGGCGGGGGAGATCTCTGTGACCTCCCCATGGACGACCGCAAGGGGCGCCGGCGGCTTTGACGCCCACGTCGGCTCTAGCCTGGACCGGCAGGGCCGAGGGTAGCTTGAGCTGGATGGGTACCCCCCGGCCCCCCCACCTCACTCCTGGGCCAGGGCAGCTCGGGTCGCTATTGGGAAGCAAGGGGCCCCACGGGGACAGGCAGCAACTGGGGCGGATGCGTGGGGCAGAGGGGCTGTGCCCACCCCAAAGCCAGCATCATAGGGGGCTGGCTACGCCGCTTCTCTCCTCGTCCGTGAAGCAGCTTAGCATTGGGGCGTTCGGGACCAGGATTCCACGGGGGTTTGTTATGGACTTGCTGTGTCACCACCGGCTAGGCCTCAGTTTCCCCAGCTGTAAAATATATTCGAGTTCTGTAATGTTTTTCCTTCCTCTCCCCCGCGCAGCCCCTCCCGTTCTCCTCTCCCCCTCTCCCGTCTCCGTCCCTGCCCCCTCTTGCCGCGCGCCCCTTTCTCGCTGCCATGCTGCTAGCGTTAAGCCCGTGGTGGGTGCTGTTTGCCGGAAAAGGGCAGGAGCTGTTGGATTCAGGACCAGGTCGGGGGGCACAGACACGTCCCACCTTGCCCAGCAGGGATAATCCTAGAACACTAGGACTGGACGGGACCTCGAGAGTCATCGAGTCCAGCCCCCTGCCCTCACGGCAGGACCCCGTACTGTCTAGACCATCCCTGATAGACATTAGGGATGGTAATAATAATCCTCTAACAATCCTACCAAGGCTTGTAGCTGGGTTCACTACAGCCTGCGATGGTCTATCAGTGAATGCCGCCCCCCCCACCCGCAGCCAGACCCTGGCCCCGCGGCTGATCGGACACCAATGCAAAACAGGAATCACGGAGCCCCCTCACGCTACCCCGCTGGGGTTTGCATGTCCAATTTGTTACACGCCAGAAGAGAAGCCAAACCGCAATCAAAGCGGAGCATTTGAATGCTCATGCGACGGGCAGCCCATGCAAAGCACACGGCCGGCCTTGTGCGGCTGCGCGTTAACTTGGGCAGAGGCGTCGGCGAGGCGCAGAGGTAGGTGCAGGGCGCTGCAGGGGACGGGGAGACAAACACAGCGGGCAGGAGGTCACAGGCCCGGCCTCTGTGTAATACGCTGTGGGGCCGAGGCTCTTTCCAGTCAGGGCCGGTGCGAGAGACGGGAAGCCCCCTCCCCGGCGGACACAACGCCTCCCTGCAACATGGGACTGGCAGAAGCAACACTTGCTTGCACCTGTGCCCAATGCAGAGGGAAGAGCAAATTTTCCATGGTGGCAGATACACGTTGCACCTGGGAACAGGGACTGGGCCCTGTGAAATCGCACTTCGCCGGGTATCCAGCTGCCTGTATTCCCGAGCGGCAGCTGGAGCCGTTAATTGCAAGGTGGAAGGGGAACCGGAGGCAGCGCTGGCAGGGGGGAAGGGAACACGATGACTCAGCAAACGGAGTTTTCCCGTTTTCGTTCACTGGTGACTCCTCAGGCGTGGTTGGCCTCAGACAAAGTTGTTCTCCACCCGGCAGCTGATTGTGAGTGATGCACCAGGATTAGATTTGCAGCCGTCAATAGCAAGCACCGTCCATTTCCTCGCACGCACGCACAGATCTCCCACCACCGCGGCTGAAATGTACAGGGCGGCAAAGTAAGAAAAACGCCGCTTGAGACATGAGGCGCGTTTGATTTTTCAGTTATTTATCGGGCCGCGGGACGTTCTTAAATAATTGTCTGACCCTGCCCCGCCCCCGGGTGACCATCCTCCCATAACTTCCTGCCACGGTGAAAATTAAAATAGATGGAAGGTTAAAAATAACACTTAAAACTAAAACTATGGATGTCTGCTGTCAAAACCATCACAACACAAGAATCCAATGCTACCAAGCGATGTTCCCTCTAATTTTCGCCATCCATGTGCAGAATACATTTTGTTTGAAATAAAATGAACAGGTAGCAGGCTTAAAACAAACCGCAGGAAGTATTTCTTTACACAGTCAACCTGTGGAACTCCTTGCCGGAGGATGATGCGAAGACCAGGACTTGAACAGGATTCAAAAAAGCACTAGATAGATTCCTGGAGGTTAGGTCCATCAATGGTGATTAGCCAGGATTGGTGTCTCTAGCCTGTTTGTCAGAGGTTGGAAATGGGTGACAGAGGATGGATCACTTGATGATTCCCTGTTCTGTTCATTCCTCCTGGGGCACCTGGAGCTGGCCCTGTCGGCAGACAGGATACTGGGCTGGATGGACCTTTGGTCTGACCCAGTGTGGCTGTTCTGTGCACTGAGGCATGTGCAGACGTGCACCACCAATAGAAACGCAGGCTGCCGGCGGTAGGTGTTCCTGATAATCAGCTGGGCCGCATTTGAGTCCCTCCTGGGGGAAGGGGCGCCCAAGCACCCCGCTTACAAGGAACGCTGCAGCCCAGCCCACCTGTGGGCAATGGGCTGCTCTCAGCTTTCTATATTACTTCACCAGCCCGTCACCCTGACCACGGGCCCATCACACCACTCATGGTGGTAGAGAAAGCAAGGCCTGACGGGACTGGGTCCATTCAACCCCAGCCAGACCGAGTGAGGTACCCCTCCAGGTCACACGCTTTGGTAGGACAGGGCGAGAGGGATGTTAAAGGGCCAGGGCCATCAAGCCAGCACCTTTCAGCTGCCCGACCTGTGCCCACAAACGGGACCAAGGTGAGCGCGGGGGAGGAGAGCCGAGATGCGACGGGGTTCACAGCCCCCACCGTGTCTCACGCCTGCCGCACAGGGCCAGAGCTATAACACTCCTGCGCACACCGAGGGACGCCCCCCTGTGAGAAAATGGATCATTCCATCGAGGGTTCCACCAACGGGCCTACTCCTCACGGGATCTAGCTTGCTGCAGCCTCACTAAAGGCAACGTTGCGGGCTAGGGGGTGTGGCCCCAGGTTGCCACCGCTGGGCCAGACATTCGGAGAGCGGTAGGGGCGCTGAATAGCACCTCACTGCAGCCGAAGCCCCACCCGCGTCAGTAAGGGAGCTTGTCACATTTGACTCAGGCGAGGGGGTAACAGACCCGGATCCTTCACGTCCCATTCGCTGCAGGAGGAAGCTCCGAACGGTTCCTTTCAGCCGCTGCAGGAAAGCAAAGCTGCTGGGGGTGGGATGACCAGCAGCAAAGAGGGGCATGGAGAGGTGACCATGACAGATCAGAAGGTGAGGCGTCCAGCAAACAAACCCACCTGTTACGGTTTCGAGAGACAAACTCTACAGGTGCCACCTCCGTACTTGAACCCCTGAGGTGGCCCGCAAGGCCAGGAAGATACCAAGAGCCTCCAAGAGGGCCGCCAACGCTGACGGAAGCTATTCTGGGAGGTTTCTTTCCCCCGACACGTCTAGAGTGCATTGGTTCCGGAAATAGCCCAACGGAGCAACGCCGCGTCCAAGGAACGCGCCCGCTCTTGCGGAAACGTTTTCGAAAGAGCCGAGGCGCACTTTCGCCGTCCCTGGAAACCTCGTTCGACGCGGGATAGCTCAAAAGAGCATTTTATTTCCAAATTGGGCGCCTCGCAGACGCGCCCAATTTCGAAATAGCCTCTTTCGAAATTACATCGAAAAAAGACCCGCCATTTGCATACTGCCAATTGTGCATCTTTTTTCCATTTTACAGGGCAGGCTGGATGTAGCTGAAAAAAAATAGTGTCTTAAAATATTCGATTTAAACGCCTCAGGTTTGCTTTCAATAGTTACCAGGAGGTTGGTGTTGATGCTAGGAGACACCAGGCCAGTCCTGGTGGGTTGGTAACCTGACCTCCCAGCATCCATGAAGCTTGCAATGCCCCAGTATCCGAGTGCTTCTGATGTATTTACCCCTGTGCTGAAAGGATGTAGTGAGGTACCAAGACCCAGACCCTTAACGGGAGGGAGGTGCCCCGCGCCTGTTGACATTAACGGGAGACGGGTAGTGAAATACCGATGAGAACCCAAGTCAAGAGCCAGCAGCTACGCACCAGTCCCAGGAGTCCCAAACCCACCCCCTGCCCCCTGAATGAGCCTTCCTCCAGCCTACGGCCCTCGTCAGAGATTAGACAATAGGAAACGGGTCCTGGTGGCTTTTGCCAACAGCTGGCCGGAGAACGGTCGGCCCTCCTCTGTGTCCAATGGCGGATTAGCCCTGTGGCAAGGGAGTCCAGTTTTGGCTCCGAGATTTAGCCAACATTCTCTCCTCTGACCTAGGTCCTCTCCCGCCGTGTCCGAAAGCCCCCTCAGATGAAATGGGTCTTGCCTCTCGCACCCAGACTGATCAGGCACCACATCAGAGCGAGGTGCCCACGTCCTACCATGGTGGGGCTGGGCCGGGTGTCCAAAAGAAAACTCCCCCCCCCCAAGCTCATTCAGTAGGAACCGCGTTGGGTTAGTCTCCCTTGGGAGTCACATTTTGCTTCTCTCGCCATTCACCCTGCCCCCAGGGAAGTACCACGCGGCCGACCCACGTCAGAGCTTCGCCCGCTGGCAGCTCGCTCCTGCAAGGCTGCTATTTGCATCAAGCCTAAATCCTTCATTTCCATCGGGCGGGACCAGCTGCCAGCTCTCCCTCCCCGTGCCCCGCACAGCACTCAGACGGATTTGCTAGTCAAACGATAATGCCATATGATGCACTATGCAAATTACAGAGGGGAGGGGAGCCAGCACGGGAGAGCTTTGCTTTCAAACGAAGGCACCAGCCCGACCTAGATCCTGGGCAGTCGCCTTGGACCGAGGAGCAACCATGGGAAGGACCCATGATGCATGATCCCGATGTGCCACAGGAGACAGAAAAGGGCTGGCTCTGGCCTACCAGGTGGCCTTTTCCCATGGGGTGCTAGGATGGCAGCTGTATAGAGAGAAGGGGAGGAGGGGGGGGGTCTTGGTTGTAGCGAAGGAGCTGCTAACGAGACCCTGGCAGAGGTTTGGAACGACATCTAAGGGCAGTGACAGGAGCAGATTTGGGGGATGAGCGTGATGGGCCACGGGGAAAGGTAACCAACGCTTAGCTTCCTGGCATGACCTCGTTGACGGCAGCCAGAGGGCGCAACTCACCGAGGGTTGTGAGGTAACGTTCTCTTACAGCAACGTACGGCGCCACCCTCACCGGGTAACTGCCACGCCCATGACGGGAGGGGGTGCACGGAGGGCTGTGCCGCGTTCTCCGTGAGCCATTCGCTCGGCCAACGCCAGAGCAGAGGTCTTTCCCAGGGGATAGAGGCACCCGGCCGCCCAACCCTGAGGTGTTCAGCCCTGAAGGGATCCTGAGAGGAAAAAACGGGAGGTGGGAGTCTTAACATGCGCCCATTTGCCTTTGTTTTTCAGCCCTGGTTGCTGCCACGTTGAAAAGGACTTTCAGGAAGACCTACCACCATGGATGAATGGGAACTTCCGCAGTGGAAGAAGGAAGTCGACAGCCTGAAATACCAACTGGCTTACAAGCGGGAGATGTCATCTAAAACAATACCCGAGTAAGTCGATGCCTTCCCCTCCCCTTCAGCTGCTCCCATGGACCAAGGGGGTGTGTCTCAGCCCAAACCCCAGTGGACAGGCACCCTCCTCTCAAACAGGCCCCTTGGACCACACTGACCTAAATTGGTGTAGCCCAGCAGGGGGCTGCCTGAGGCCCAGAGGGGTTCTAAGTGTGGCCCGTGAGAAATGTTGTTTGCCATTGCGTGACGTGAGGTGGGGGCTGGTTGCACACCACATTGATGGGCAGAGCCCCGCACTTCTTCTGCCTCCCACCACAGTGCTGCTCTAGTTCGGTAGGCACAACTCCCCGCCCATTCTAGGGACGCGGGCGCAGTGAGCAAAACGACCCTCTCCCAGCAGACTGGTGTGGGTCCGACCACCTCGCGGCCCACGGAGATGATGGAGGGCCACTCCTGCGGCCCGCTCGCTAGCCCAGGTTGCCCATCGCTGGTGTAGCTCCACTCAGGTCAATGGAGCCCCGCTGATAACCTTGCACTTTTTGTTGTGGCCGCCTCGCCGGAAAGGCTGAGACGGACACGCCATACCTTCTAGGTGATCCGGAGGCTGGGAGGAGTGAGGTGCATGGGCAGGCTGTGGGGGAAAGTCTACCCTGCACCGGACCGCAGGCTCCCTGGCCCTTAATTCAGTCCCTTTTGCCAGAAATAAATTGGCACCAAGAATACTCGGGTCCCGATCCTCCAAAGTACTTAGGAGCTTTGAAACCAATGGGAGTGACGTGCCTGATTCGCTCCGAGAATCGTGGCTGAAATGCATCATCTTATCTAGGCAACTGTCTCTTCCCCACCCGCACGAGACCACCAATGCCATGGGAGGATTGCAGAGCCACAAGCTTTCAGTCTGGCCAGTTTTCCCCAGCCTTGATTTCCTGGGTCACCTGTTACCACCATAGGATCAGAGCACTAATACCTACAGCGAGGTGGGCAGTGTCGCCAAGCTTGCAGGAAGAAAGATGAAGGGGAGGGGGGTTCCAAAGAGGATGGAGTGAGGCTGTTCTCAGTGGTGGCAGGTGGCAGAACGAGGAGCAATGGGCTCACGTTACAAGGGGGGAGGTCTAGGTTGGATACTAGGAAAAACGATTTCCCTAGGCGGGTGGGGAAGCGCTGGGATGGGTTCCCTAGGGAGGGGGGTGGAATCTCCATCCCTAGAGGTTTTTGAGTCCTGCCTTGACAACGCCCTGGCTGGGATGATGGAGTCGGTGTTGGTCCTACTTTGGGCAGGGGGCTGGACTCGATGACTCCTGAGGTCTCTGCCCGCCCTGGGATTCTATGGCTCACCGAGGATAAAGCTGGGTGACATGGGGCTATAACTATCACACAATCGCAGAACACTAGGACTGGAAGGGCCCTCGAGAGTCATCGAGTCCAGTCCCCCGCCCTCATGGCAGGACCCAGCACTGTCTAGACCATTCCTAATAGAGGTCTAACTTTCCTTTAGCTGATCCAACCCACTCCCGTCTGTTTCCCAGGGCCTTCCCCTTGTATTAGAAAGCAAAAGACGATTCCTCTTTAGCCACCCGCTTTTAAGACTGTGGCCACTTGCAGGGTGCTGACGTTGGCCTATATTTAATGGTGCCCACACACCTCTCCCTGTCCAGCGAGCCTCCACGTTTCCTCCCCGCAGAGCCAGACTGGAAGCGCCCCTAGAAACATCACTTCCCATCTCCATACCAACAGTGAGGCTAAGTGCACGGACAAGGTGTTCGGCAACACTCGTGCAAAATGAGTGTGCAAAGGCAGGTGCTAGAGCAGAGGCGGGGGGAGGGCTGGCCCTGAATTTGCATCTACATTTGAACATCTGTGCCTTCAGGTCTTTTGGGAGTTAATACTGATGCAATTCCAGAGGGCATGTGGCCGGACTTATTCCATTCTAGGCACCTCTGCTGGAAAAAATCCACATGCCTTCTTGACTTGACGGTCCAAGCCTGGCACCGTTCATTGAAACCTCCGGAGGCTGAACCTCTACCAATCCAACTCAAGACCTAGCCAGCTAGCAAAGTGCTGTCCCACCTGCTTTCACAGCATCAGACGCAGCTGCCCTGGCCCCTTCCCCTTTCGAGCTGTGAGATTACTCCCCTCTGAGAAGAGCAAACACCAGCTCCAAGAACCATGGAGGCAGTCCAGAGCACGTGAACAATAATAAACACGGCTCTTTCTTGGCCGTCGGCTTTCTGAGCTGCAAGAAGCATGTGTGTTTATTGAAAGTTGCCCATAAAAATCACCTGACTCTGGGCGCTGGGGCTTTCGAAACAAAATCCAGTATCGAGAGAGCCGGCCACACTGTTCTCTCTAGCTGTAGCAGGGAGGGGGAGACGTGAGAGTCCACGTCATCACAACCTGGCCCAGTTACTCTCTGCCTGCATGCGCCCGAGGCTGAAATCCTTCCACTTTGTCCAATCGCTCTGTAAGCATCCCGAAAGCCATCTTACTTGCCCTCCAACTCCCTCCTGAACACGCTGACACCTTCCTACTGTAGCCCAGAATGCAGCATTCCGTACAGTCGCTCAGGTCGAGTGACACTGACAGTTCTGGCGTCCCCGCCTCCTGCATTGTGGGAGGAGGATGGCAAATCGAGCAGGTTTCACGCGGCAGAAGAGAACGCTAGTGAAAATGCATCGCGCCTCCCTTACTTGGCGAGCCCTGGTCCGGGCCATCTGTGTAAGCCTTACACATTCCAGGCAGCGGGCTGAGCTTTAGAATACAGCCCCCTTGTATTACAAAAAAATACCACCTCCTGGGTGGGCAACCAATTGCATGGGTGAGCAAACGTGGTGCAAAGCCAAGGCGTTTTGAAACAGAGGTTCTCCAGCTGTGGTCTGCAGAAGGCTGGCAGGTCACGTGCTGCCAATTCCTCATTTTCACCTGCTGATCTGCATTTGCAGAAATTCAGGGGGCCTGAAAGGCTTCCCTGCTGTTACCTTCCCGTATCATCCCTGTAGCCTGGAGATGTTAGGGGATCGTGAACGGCAGGAGAACGCGAGACTCACTGCCCCCTTGCTACTGCTCCTGCTCCTGACACCGCAGCCAAACGCTCTGGACCATGTTGTGCCTCCAATTCCGCTCACTCTAATAGCAGACACCCCCCAGCAGTGGGACACTCAGACGCTGGAGCTTGAGGGTTTATTAGCGCACCACGGTGTTAACGTCACGGCTCACAGGTCGTGCTCGCACTTGGCCCCTTGGCTCCTGGCCGGACCCCCACCCTCCAGCGCAACAGCCCCTTCTCGGGGAGCCCCCTCCAGTGCGGTGACCCCCTCTTGGGGGGTTCGCTCCTCCGCCTCTGGGACGGTGCCTCGCAGGGCCTCCAGCTGCCTGCCTCCGCCATGAGCCCCCTCCCTCTGGACGCCCGGGGCCTCCACTCCCAGAGGGAATAGCCCCCCTGTTCTCTAGACCAGAGCAACGATCAGCCAGCACCAAACAGAAGGGGTTATTGAGCTCTGAACGCAGCAACGGGTGTCTCAGGCCAGTAGGCCTGGGCCCTCAGCCCACACGTCGGCCTCCCCCTGCAGCCAGCCGAGCTCTCCCCAAAAAAAACAACCACCCCCAGTCTCCTCCCAGCCTGCAGGGTTCTCCTTAGAGTCACACTCCTGTCTCTGTGCCCTTGGGCAATTTGTTTCACCCCCTTGTCTCTTGAGACGACAGTTATTTTACCTGTCTCCTGGGATGGGTCAGCTGCGAGGTTCCCACTAAGATTTTCCACCCACGCGTGGAATAAATTTTGTTACGTGCACCGAGACATGTGTGGATGTGCACCACAAATAGAAACACATGCTGTCAGCTAGGGGCGCTGTGCTCGTCAGCTGGGCAGCATTTCAATCTCTCCAGGGTGGCCGCCTTAGTGCACAGCTTATGGGGGACACTGGTCAGCTGAGAGATGCCATGGAAACACTAAGTATAATTACTGCAGAGCCATGAAAAGAAACGTTCCATCTCCACTCCAGTGCGAATAAGACAATGAGAAACCCACAGAGCTAATGGCTTTCCTCTCCCCTCTTCTCCGCAGGTTGATTAAGTGGATAGACGATAACATTCCAGAAGACCCGTTTCTGAATCCAGAGCTGATGAAAAGCAACCCTTGGGTGGAGAAAGGAAAATGTAGCATCCTCTAATGTACCTAAGTCCAACTCGCTCCCAAACAGCAGTGGCTGACAAAATGCTTCCATCCAAGATACTCAAGTTTGCATTAACTCTGAATGTACATTTTTTAATTAGTGTCCTAATATGAGTAACTCAACAAACACGATCCTCATCTGGTCTTATTATTTTTATTAGTAGAAGCCATTCTTTTTTATACTAAAAAAAACAAACAAAAACAGCACATAGCACCAGAGTACATTGGTCAGAGATGCAATGTATTGGAGATGCATGGGAACTCGAAAAGCAAAATTATACCACAGGCAGAAACTGTCTCATGATTAATCCTGTAGTTTTCAATTACGCGCTCGCTTAACTCTGCTTCTGTGAACCTTACAAAGCCTTTTTGAACTTGTAAAAGAAAAACAAAAAAACTTTTATAAACAAAATTTCAATAGTTTTTTTGTATATTGTAGACTATACAATTTTGCAGCACCACTGGCGAAATATGAGAACGACGGGGTTTATAAAGGAAATAAACAAAGCAATACTTCACATGTTTTTAACATTTTTTTATTTTGCTTATTTACTTTTTTTTTTTTTTTTTTACAAACAGCTGAATAGAAAATAAACGTAGGAAAGTTCTCATGAGCCATACATTTTTTAGAAGGCTGAGTCATGCTTTTCTTTCTGTTCTGTATGTATTGTTTCTTCTCTTTTATTCCTTCTTTCTCTGAACACTAGAGCAAATCCTTAATGTAAATATTCCGCCTGACGGCATTCGAAACCCCTTCATTAATTTTTTTTTACAAACAGCTGAATAGAAAATAAACGTAGGAAAGTTCTCATGAGCCATACATTTTTTAGAAGGCTGAGTCATGCTTTTCTTTCTGTTCTGTATGTATTGTTTCTTCTCTTTTATTCCTTCTTTCTCTGAACACTAGAGCAAATCCTTAATGTAAATATTCCGCCTGACGGCATTCGAAACCCCTTCATTAAATCGGAAACGGCTTTTCCAATTTGTTTTTCGACAGAGTCTTGCTCAGATGTTTGATTAGCTGATGGTGACCGGAGAAAGTGAGTGGTGGGGGGAGGGAGGAAAGATACAATAATAAAATTAAATCCAGGGATTTAAAATTGGAAAGTCTTAACAAGCAAAGGCAACAGACTCTGCAGGAAGAACCAATAGGACTCTAAAAAGGACGGCCCCTGCAAATATTATTGCTAGGCATGGTACTTCCTATGTGCAGTCCCACAGTCAATTCACGATGCCACAGTAAGTGCATTCAAAACTAGGTTCCTCTGTTCCAAAGCCCTGATACTACACCCACTTCAGCATCTCACGTAGCTTTATTAAGGCCTGGCCTACATTTCAGAATGACATCGCCCTAGCTACGTCGCTCAGGAGTGTGAAATACGTCACACCCTGATCACAGCAGTTGGATCGACCTAACCCCATTCACCTAACTGCATCCAGAAGAACCGTTCCATCAACCTAGCTCCTGTCTCAGAGACAGACGAGCGACAGCAGCAGGAAGATTCCCTCTCTCCACGTAGGAAGTGTCTATGCTAAGCAGCTGTAGCACAGACATGCCCTAAATAAAATTACGGCTTAAAACATTTGCAGGAGCAGAACGGCAGCCATCTTTATTGTTCATTAATTGGGCCTTTGGGTGCTTCTGTAATGAAATATTTATTACTTCACCCTACCCTAGCAGCTCCGTGGAGGAGACTGGACTGGTTTTATGGCCCAGGTTTCTTTCCAATCCTTCCCACACATAAATGTCTTCAGACAGTTACGCAACACAGTGTGGAAATTGCTCTCCCAGCTCCACCCACCCTCTGGATGAATCAGTCGGTTTGATTTCAGCATTAGGAAACCACAGAAGATACTGCAAAGCTTTCCACTACAACATATGTTCCCAGCTTCCTTCCGTCTCTCCCGACCAGTATCAGGTCTCCTCTGCACATACCTGCGGATGGAGACACCGGTTTCTTAACAAGCTGGCGCCCAAAGAAGTCAGTTTCTGGCTGTGAAAAGAAATCAGAATGGATTTAGTTTACTTCCCCTTGGCAGATCTCTGGATACAGATCTCTGGCCCAAATCAACCTCAGATGGGGTTTTGATCGAATTACAAAACCAGAGCTTGACTTCCTTCACGTGATTCAAAATATGTCCTTTCGTCACAGAAATGGAGAGCTGGAAGGGAGAGGTCGTCTCGACGTCTTCCTCGCACGGAGGATGAATTAAGACCTAGAGCAGTGTTTCTCAACCTTTTTATAAAGTACCCCTTTAAAAAAAATTGTAAGTACCCTCAGTACCTACAGTTTTCAGACACACCAATTTTTTTTTCTACCATTGCAACACATTTGTTTAAGCAACTTAATCAGACAATGAAATTTTGGGGTGTAAAAAGTACAAAAATAAAGCGCCGTGAAACTTAAAAAAATCAGTTTTCCCCAAATTTCAGTTGAGTTGACGTACCCCGCAGACGTCTCTCGAGTACCCCTAAGGGTGCTTGTACTGACCTAGACCTCCCTCTCTTTCAGCTCCCTTTCTTGATTCATTCCAATATCCTGCCCAGGACCGGAAACCAGAGCTATAAATCTTTGCGTGCACAGGAACGAGAATGCAAATGATTAGAAGCAAAGCGTGGAAGTGACGGATCTGATTCCCGCAGTGAAATGCAAACACTGAACAAAAAAGCGGAAGTGGAGACAAATTAATTTTTCTTTTTAAAAAGAATGCACGTTCCGATTGGGGCTAGCAACAGGAAGAGAAAAAAGGAAGGATTTTGTTGCTGACAAATGCCATAAGCAGGTCCCCATAAGAAACACAAAACACGTTCTCTGCGTACTAAGACGGGATACAATGCGCAGGTATAATGGGGAGAAACCCTGGCTCCCCTGAACTCAATGGGACTGTTGCTATTGAGCTCAGAGGACACCGGTCTGGTTTGCCTATGGAGCCTCGTACAGGCCATTCCGCAGTATGTGTGGCCAAATATTTAAAGGTACCAGCTCAACAGCCCGCCTCGGATTTGAGCGGCATGTGAGTGGGCTGAGCTTGGTGAGGGAGCAGGGGGGTGACGGGGCTGTAGGATCCAGCGGGAAGCACATTCTGTGCTCTGCTGCTCTCGCTTCTCCGCCGTCATTGGAGCTACGCCAGTCCAAGGTGGCAGCGTAAAGGAATGTTAATAGTTAACCGATTGCCGACACAGGCAGGGAGCTGCTCCGGGCTAGCCGGTCCCGCTGTGCTGTGGGTGCTCCAGCCCGGCCGGAGCAGCTGTGCTACTCTGTGGGTGGAGGGCCCACCCCACTTTCCTGCCTCCTGTGGGTGCCAGCTCCAGCCAGGAGAAGGCTGATGATGGCTGCCTGGCCCCTGCCAGGGGGGTGGAATTTGAACCCTAAACCCTGCACTCCAGAGGCAGATGCCTTATCCACTAGGCCACTGGAGGAACCAACACACCTCCCTACCTCTAGCCACTGCCATATCCTACCTACCTCCAGCAGGTGCCAGCTCCCACCCAGGGCCACCTGCCCAGCTACTCCTGGGGTGGCCAGAGGGAGGCGGAATTTGAACCCACAACCCCAGGCTCCGGAGGCTGATGCCTTATCCACTAGGCCACTGGAGGAGTCACCTCAGCTCCCTGCCTTCAGCTGGTACCAGCCACAGTGGGCCCCCAGCCTGGCCAGAGCAGGCTACCTCAGGCGAAGGGTGCTCCAGTCAGGCAGGAGAAGCCCCTGTCGTGTCAGGGGGCTGCTCCAGTCCAGTCAGCCCCCCGCTCAGCCCCATTTCACTGATTAAAGGGGATTTACTGATTAAGGGACGTCGATGGGAAAGTTTCTCCCGTCGACCTCCAGCACTGGGGCGGCCATGGAAATTGGACTTCCGGCACGTTGATTCCTGTGACGCTATTCTCGTAGCTGGAGTGGCACATCTAAAGTTGAATTTCTCCCCCAGCGTGGACCTGGCCTCAGCTACATCCCTGGCTATAGAGTGACAACAAACAACCTGAGGCCGTGAATATATGGGTCACCCCAGCTGCTGTGTGAGATTGGAGTGCGGCGTTCCCGCTGGACAGATGAGAGCAATTTTTGCTGCATGATGATTTAGGAGCCGGAGAGCAGCAAGCACGGCGCCTGAGGCTGCAAACGGCAATAATTGGGAGAGTAGGTGCCCTTGACAACACAGCCTGTCTAGCAAGAAGCAAAGCCGATTTTGACGCATTCGCTTTTCTTTTCCCTGCTCCGGTTATTTGCCGATTCCCTCGTTCCCCGAATCTACCAGTTCACGATGCATCTCTCGGCGCTTAGTGTGAATTAGCCAGGTCCTGCTGCAACATCCGACAAGGTCAGGAGAAGAAAAAACGATGCCACGAGCCGAGAGGCCTTGGAATGTATTTATTCGTTATTTTTAAAACGTGGTCTCTGGTTCTTGGTTGGATTTTACATCCTCCAAGCCACGGAGCTTATCTTCCCTACGGCTTACCCGCTCTATCTGCCATTAACTTGATTTCCCCCTAGATGAGATTACTGGTGCATCACGATCCACTGGATTAGAAATAACTCCAAGCATTTTGCCGGTGGGTAACAGCCTCGCATCCTGGGCGTGGCTGCTGCCCGGAAAGCTTTGCCCAGCCTGTTTGGCTAGGATCAGCATTTCCCAGGTACACAGCCAACGGCAGAGCAGGAGGGGAAGGGGCTGGCTTGGGAGCTCGGCAGATGGAGAGCGCCTCTCCCCCATAGACAGCTGATCCAAACCCCACCTGGCCCCAAGACAGCGGGAGCGTCCAGGCCCAGTGACCATCAGCATGCAGACGCCCCAGCGGAGGCTGACCCCCCAAGAGACGGCCCTGGAATCCACGGGCTGTAGACGAGATGCCTTTGTATAAAGACAGGCCAGGGGCTGTGTTGTAGGGAAGCCTGAGCTGGGTCCGGAACACAGGCGTGTATCGTCATGTAGAGAGTTGTAATTATAGCTGGGGGGAGGGCGAGGGGGTGCACCATCAGCATGCAGACGCCCCAGCGGAGGCTGACCCCCCAAGAGACGGCCCTGGAATCCACGGGCTGTAGACGAGATGCCTTTGTATAAAGACAGGCCAGGGGCTGTGTTGTAGGGAAGCCTGAGCTGGGTCCGGAACACAGGCGTGTATCGTCATGTAGAGAGTTGTAATTATAGCTGGGGGGAGGGCGAGGGGGTGC